TTCTTCTGGGGCATTGCATCCTGTCCTGTATTTTCTTTACACCGTGTATGGCTTATGCGAATGGTCTTGCTTCGTGCCTGAATTAGGCGGCGCTGGTTTGGTTTTGTGTCTCTGGAAGTGAGTGGTTTGCAGCCCAGGCGCTCTCAGGTTTCAGGGGTCTCAAGGAGAGCTTGGAACTCTGCAAATCTGAGCCCTAAAAATAGGAATGCTTTTGCATTTGCAAATTAAAATAAATCTTGATAAGATCAGAATTTGTAACAGATGTTCAAATTCCTAGGGTTTTTTGTTTCTGGGTTTTTTTTAATAAAAAGATAATCTTTTCTACCTACATGCAAACTGCGTTTTTAAATATAGGAACAAACATAGTTGTATTTCTTTAAAAAAAAAAAAGTGTGTGTAAATAGATAATTTTATATAGAAACAAATACCTTTCAATTAGTCTAACTTCTTACTGGTGGAATAGGAAGGCAAGAAAAAAAGTGCTTATGATCAGTTGATCTTATCAGGATTGCATTCTGTCTTCATAGCTTGCATGTTTATTGCCGCACTTTGCTCTACTGACGACCAGTATTTCTACACCACATTTAAGCTTTTCCCTTCCTTTATGCTTTTACCATACAAGATAACTCCAAAATGCAAATTATTTATTCTGTATACAAAAGGGAGCTGGGAAGTTGTTTTGACTGGATACAAATGTTTGTCTCTTAAATAGATCTGCGTTTGTGTAGCTGCTTAATCTGCTTTGGTTTATCTGTGATTTTTCCTCTTGGTTGAAGTAGTGCCCCAGCTGGTATGTAAGGAAATCGCGCTCCTAAGGCATTTTCCATTAAACCCCAGAAGATGTACTGTGTTGTCTCAAGATCCCATGATTAATTTGCAAGACTTAGCATATATAATTAAGGAAAGATCAGTGTATTGGCAGTATATAAATGGGAAGTTTTAAAGCAAGATTAAGACATGGGCATTCAAAGCTGTTAATCTCCATTCTGTTTTGTGAAATCTTGCGTTAGGCAAAATGAGGGTGGGATCTGGATACACCTTTGGAGGAGCACATATGGAAGTGGGTTTTGATCCGAAATAACGCTTCCCTATGTGTGCGGTCAGACCTGGTCATCACAGTGCTGATCACTGTCCCTTCACTCCTGTTAAATCTGTTTTCCTAAGCAACGTCCCAAGAACTTAAAAGATGCCCGAGAGGCTGGAAATCCTAATGGATAGAAATCTTACAGGTAATTTATCTGCAATATAAAGAAGCTGGGAACTGAAAAATCCATGGGAGGAATGGTGGAAGAGTCATTTCTTGAGATGATACTAAAATAAGCATCTATTTGTTCCTACATAAAGCAGTTACTATTCTTAACATACTATTGAACTGTGCCATTAGACGAGGTCAGGCAGGGTGAAAGCCTCTGGTGTACAGAAAATGCATTGTACCAGATAACCCACAGGCTTCAGACCTCACATTTTAAGCACAAATTACCATTTTTTTGGTTGCCCAGAGAATCTTCTTAATAGAAAGTGAGGCAACAGTTTCTGTTCGTCTTAATACCACCACTAAAATTAGAATAACAGTCGACAAAATGGCCTTGCCATGCTTTTACGAAAATTTAATCACTGTTTTTGGATGAACAGATATGTGGCTATTTTTATACAAAGTTACCAGAAATCAACCGTGAGGTTAATTATTGAGAAGAAATAGTAATGGCATTGATTAAGCAGCATCTCTCTGCGGTTTTTCCCTCCTTGTTCCCTGATGTTTTATGATGTGACAACTTCGATATGTGTAAGATTGTAGGTGCCCATAACTGCTTATTCTGCCTTTCCTTGAAGGCAACTTTCCATGTCAATAATGAGCAACACAATTTCTAGCACAGGGCAGGACTGGAGCCATCGTTCACCACTGGTGACTGAAATGCTGCTTTGCTGTGCACATGAAATATTCATCACTCGGCATTTGGGCAAACAGCTGATGCTAAAGCTTTCTGTCCTGTTCACGTTTTAACTCTTCTCTTCTCTTGTCACTGTTGCTTCCCTCCTGGCTAGAGGGCTCCCAGAGATGTGAGAAGTTGAGACCTTGCTAACGAGCTGAACGGAGAGCGGAATAGCACCAGCCTTAGTTAAACTCTCTGGCTTGGCACGCTCT